AGAAAAATGCGACGAGGTAATTCGCGAAGCGCAAAATGTAGCGCCGATTGTGAGAGATGTGAAATTGAAAATGCTGCATCAATTAGCATTAATTTAAATGTATGATAATTAAATAATAATTAAATATATCATAATAAAAAGTTAAGCTGCTAATGGCGTACCAATGAAGCTCCGAAAGCCTAATTATAACTTTTTTTATTACTGATTTTTTTTTTATATAGAATTTCTCAAGTCTCCTGTCTTACGCGTATGTGAACGAATCTATAAGATCAGATGTGGATTTTTTATGTGTCAAACACACACACACACACACAGATCGTAACTTTAATCGAATTTGTATCAAGAGGAATCGGCAGATCCGATATAAATGCATACATTGCAAACGCAATAAGATAAGTTGATCTAATAATACTTTTTGCTGATAACAAGCATTTCCGAGGGAGCATCGCCGACGATCGAAAATGTGTCATAGGACTCGAGTTGTAACGACGCGCGCACACGGATTTGCGAACCCCGGGAAATGCGTTTGGGTTTGCGAACCCCCAGACTGGAGGGGATTGACCCAGACACCCCCTCCAGCAGACGATTCTCCCTCCACCGGATAGCTGTAGCTGCTTCTAGAGCCCTACACCATAGTCGATGGAACGAGGGTGCAAAACCCCGTCTGCTTGATAAACCGTTGCACCGCCCAAGCACGATAAACGCGATATCGTTTATCCATACGTGAAAAAAATTCGCGAAAAATGAAACTGACTGTACTGTGCACTCGTGCATTACGTATGAGACTCGTACTTTTTATCATATTTCATAAAAGCGATTAGAATGCGAACAATCGAAACTAAATTAGGTCTCTATATTGTAGATTTTCCCATCAAAATTAATATTATTAAAGTTTTTGTTACTTTTGTGTTTCTCTGTCAAAATTAATACATGTATTTATTTATTATCTTGATTGTGTATTTAGTTACTTCGGCTTTGAGATAGCAGCTACGGCTTAATTTAAATATTAAATACGGTACTTCATATTTTAATTTTTGTTGTCGTATCATCGAGCCTCTTTCTTCATTCTTATTGAGATCAAATACATACAGTTATAAATATTAATATGAGTGACTCACCGTTAGGGTAGACCGCAATACTCGATAATGATGTTCAGGTAGGCGCAGATGATTGTCAGATGTTTAAACGTCATCAGAAGTAATCAGGAAATTAGAAAACAGTTCTGAAATAATATAATAGAAATTTTATTATATTTATTTCATAGAAAACGGCGATTACTTTTCCACCAATTCAATAAACGATTTCGAACAAAACAATATTTGCATATTGATCAATGTGGATATGTGATGTCACGCGACTGAAAGATTAGTAATCAGAATGTAATCGCTATCGCGATGCCGTACAACGCAATATCTTAGAACTGCTTTTAACACTTTCTCCATTAATTAAAATTAATAGACGTTGTTAGAGAGCGCACGCGTTGGCATGAAAGCGCTCAATTTTACATAGGATTTTCCTTTCGTTCTCATCTGAATTAATAATTGCTAACAAAATGAAAATGTATTTATTATAATGCATAATGAAGAATTATAAACATTCGCTAGAAAGATAGCACGCGTCATTCAATTTTCATGATAAAGTCAAAGCTAGAATATTTCATTTTGCAAAAAGAGAACGTCGGATTTCATTATTTTGCGAAGCAAATTCTCTATTTAACGAGGCAGGAAAGTTATTACCAGCGAGACTTTGTGCGCATAAACAATCGGTGCATTTCAGTGTCATGGTTCGTATAACGTTTGGCAAGCAGGGGTTGCGAACCCCAGGAAAGTAGCCAGCCAGACAGACAGACTAACATGAAAGGGGGTGACCCAGACACCCCCTCCACCGGGCTGTTTGCAAGCGACTCGACTACCGCATTGGGCTGTGCAAGTGGTGGTGAAGTATCGCGATGGAAGGGCGGTGTTATAAAAAAATGATGCGACGACATCGAAGGGGTGATTGCCGACTACTGCGTTTTATCATGACTCCAATAGTAACGATTGTTTGATCATTTTCACAATTAATCAAATATTATTAATTTCTATCCCAACTGCAAAGCGCTATAATTAACTCGCAAAAATGTTAAGTGGGATAAGAATATGTTTACTTTATAATTTCTAAGTTAAGAATCATCGGAATAATTTATATTCTTTTTTTCTTGGAGAGATATTTTTGTGTACGACAGGGTAAGAACTACTCTCGAAAGAGATTTAGAGAGTCCAGAGGTTGGATTATAAAGAGCGGAAGTGGCCATCGTGATATATGAGTATGGTTAGTTATCAGACGATAAACACTCGCGTTCATATATCGTCGCGTACATTCTTTCCCTTTTCGAATGCCGAGAAAAAGTACTGTATGTGGAAGCAAGGACACAATTTCATGTCGCAATAACTATTAATAAGAATCTCAGTAGTAGATTCGCGAAGATGGCACTCCTTGGTACTACCGAGTGAGGACAAATAAAGGACAGCGAGCGAGGAAGACGGGTGGAAGGGCGGCAACTCTCTCTCTCGTTCTCTCATTCCCTCTCCTATCTCTATCACTCTTTTTCTCGGTGAGGAGGAGAGTAGGAAGGAAGGGCAGACGTACATCGAGCACGGCGAGGGCAGCGGGAGGACGAGGGACAGCAGTCGGGGTGGAAAGGGAAAAGCGGGAGGGACGGCCGTGGTGTTGCTGACCCGACGACCGCTGTAACCTTGCGTCCCGACGCCCCGCATCCAGATCAAACGACCCTGTGCATTACTCGAAGGTCTCTGAGTCCTAGACCAATAGATATTTCCATGCATCCCTCCCAGCTAGTCTAACACGTCTGTTAAATTGGAAAGTAACGCGTCTCTTCTTCCTTAGTATTTCATAAACGATAATGACAATACATTTTACATGCTACTTGTAATTGCTATTGTTATAATAATCATGACTGATCTGTCATGTATATTGAGCCACTTCTTCTATTTTTATTAGTGTTGAATGGTATCCTAGCGATACAATTTAATTCATTATTTTTATATTCTTTGCAAAAAATGTGTTAATTAAGAGAAAGAAACTGATAGTAAATTCTCAAAGTTTCTAGGTTATTCAATTTTGAATACACTTATTAATTGCTTCTTCATGCAATCTCTAGCAAAATTAATATGTATCTTTTACCTTGTTCTGGTTTCTGATCTATACTCAAAAACAAAAACTCTGGCAATCTTGATTAAAATCTAAATTAATATGAAAAATATGCAGATATCGTGTATACTTCGTATGAGATAATAAACATTGCACTGAATTTCTCAATGCGCCATCTCGTATAAGATATGGAAATAATGAAGTAAATATTTATCGGCAGCGCAAAACTCGCGCGATAACTACAGAGTGACCGACACTGCTGAATGGTAAAGTAGAATCTAACAAGTATGGAAAATTTAACTGATATGACAATTATAATTATAAAAATTATTCCAAAAATGATTATAATCATATAATACATTTTCTTTTCATCACACAAAGATCTGCATTATTGCAATCATGCATACATTTAAACGATGAACAAATAATTGTACTCATGAATTCGAATATTGCTGTTTGCTCTACTCAATACAGATTCTGCTCGTAGACTGTTTCGTATCGGCTTCATCGAACAATCGACGATTACTTGAAACCCATTTATTGTTAGTTACACGCAAACAAAAATCAATCCTTGCAAGTCATCTCGTGCATTTGTCATGCCGCGGTATGTAAAATGTGAACGCAAAATGAAACGTACTTTGTGCCGCAACAAGCATAATTGTAGGTTATATATTACCTTACTTATTCGGTGATCCATCGAGGCGTATATACGTACTCTGAGCGAACGAAACAAATCGACGAGTTAACGATCACGCGAAGGTCATCAGTTACGAACGCGTACTAACAACAAGCGTTTTTTATTCGTCTACGCGATGAAAATTATTGCGCGCGCTTATGGCGCTTCAATTCTTCATACTGATTTCAACGCAAGGAAACACCCGCAGATATCCGCGGCTTTTCTGCGGAAAATATATTGCAGCAATCGCCCGTCATGTTAATCGGCACTCCCGGATTTTAACCAGTAAAATACGACTAAACGAGCGTTCGCGTCTCGCGTCCAAATCGCCGCGGCGGAAACGAAGACTGCTACGGAAGATGGCGGCTCCAGCGTCAAAATATTTCGATGTTGAAAATGGCGCGTTAGAAATGCTGGAATGTCGGGACAGGAGAATCAGTCATTTATTGCGTTCTTTTCGACCAGTTACGATAATGTTCTATATGATTATTGTTCTATTAGAGATTATTGCTCTATTCAATGTTTTGCTAAATATGCACGATGCCACGAATGCCTTACACTTTCAGTTTACTTCAGATTTAATTTGAAATTTTTTAACCGATTTTTTGATCAACTAACGAGCCATCTAGATAGCTTTGGAGTATTTATTTAATGCGCAAATATCTAAACATTATGCGTGTGATTTGGCAATGCTAAGTAGAAGTGTAGGATGCTCATAAGAGCGCGTGTGTAGATGATAATTTATTGCGTACATAAAAATGTAAAACATTGATTCCCATTGTTATCAGATACATATCTCATATCATAATATCAAAGATACAGTCTTACCTTTCCAGCTAGTTAATTTATAGTTATATCGATATCGTACGCGAATTGTTATCAAAACATCGTTCTTGCCGGTAGCCGACCATCAACCAAGTGCACTCATTTCTGAAGATAGCGCTGCGACTTGAAGAAACGCAAGCGGCAACTATCGATTTGTCCGTTTGCATGATCGATCGTGGACAACATTTCTCTGTCCACCAATAAAAACGTGTGGTTTTTAGGAACTTTATCCAACAACCTGTAGTCCCTAGAAAACAATTCATTTTGTTCAGCTGCCGGCCGCTAGTTTCGCTAGTTGTTTCTCTACCTCATTCACGTACGATCGTCTTATCATTACTATTTCCAAGGCGCGCACGAAGCGGCGAAGACCGGAGTCGCCATATTCGTATTTTACTACGTGTGGGATATATCGCTAGCACGTGGCGTGCGCTTGCGAAAAATTTGCCATAAGTCGGCTGTTCGGTGCGTTAAGAGTCTTTCACGAAGCATTTAAAAGACGTGTGCTATCAATTAGGCGTAAATCAGTCGCAGTTCCACGAGTCATTAACGATATATCGGTAAGTTTAACATTCCGGTTTCAGCTTCTGGTAATTTCTTGGAGATGCGGGGGGACGTCTTTTGTTACCTTCTCGCTTATGGGTCACAAGAAGTACAGAAATAAGATATAAATAACGAGGGACAAATACACAAGTGTGCCGGTAGCCGGTGGCGCACAGGGAACGAAACTGGCATAAAATTACGAGCAGATGCTCACATATTCTCTTAGATTTTATTTAGCGGTTGTATAATGTGTCGAAATGCTTCCTGTGTACCATACGATACGGTGTACATTGACCTATTTACCCGTTAATTTATTAATTACATGTGTTTCCTAGTTGCTTCTGTAGTTAGATTATTGTACAACTAATTTTTTGTTTTATTCTTTTTTCTACGTTTATTCTATCTGTATTTCCTTATGTGTTATAAAACTGACATTTTTTATTCATATTCCACATATAGAATAGCTAACACTATTCAGTAATAATTTATTATATTTTCTAGATATAATTTAATTATATCTAGAAAATATAATAAATTATTACGTTTTAATAGAAATATATAAAATTGTGTGCATTTAGATCTCACAATAGGTGATAGTTTAGTTGTTCTATATATAGACGAAGTATAGGGCACCATTGAGCATCTATGCTTAAACATCATGCTTTATTTCTGTGTACAAATTATTCAATGTCTTTTTACACACATTTAAGAAAAAAATTTATCTCGTACTATTCTCTCTAAACTTTCTAAATCATGATTCAGTTATTAATTTATTTTCATTATAAATATATTATTTATTGCTATAACAAGAAAGCTTACATTTATTTGAGAAATAAATTAAAAATATAAAAAAGTAACAAATAAATTTAGGAAATTAATACAAATTATATCTCATATGAATTCTAATTATTTTGTAATATTTTTAAATGTTTAAAATATTTAAATTAAATATTTTCAAATGACTGCAATTAATGAAGCTATTTATAGCTGTATTTTATAATTGAACACAGACTTTTACAATCTATTTGTATTCAGTTTTCTCCAAATCTTTGTATGCTTATTTCAAAAATGTTGAATTTATATGTATTATCTAACAAAACTATTTCTATATTTAAACTTTATGTTCTTTATATTCTAAGTTTGTCTATATTTTTCTCATTCTTTTGCTTAATATAGTTCTCTTGCTTTCCTTGTTCTTGTTTTCTACAAAGTTACATACAATTTTCATGCAAATAATATAAATCATACTATCAAGTTTTGAAACTCTTCTCTTCAGTTAATTCCATATGGTTTTTAACACGATTTCTACCGCGTGAGTTCTATACGTCCTATGTTGAATTTTCCGTTTTTTGCACTTTGTAAACACAACGATAATTCGTTTAAACAAAAATTTGCGTTTTATTAAACGTAGCGCATTTTAAACGTTACAAATTTTTCTCGATAAAATAATTTTTGTTAAAATTGCATGTTTATGATATAATTTTAATTTATTTGGGCAACTTATGACTTTTTTATATGTGTTTATTCACTATTCAAACTGTATTGCACTATAGAATTATAGAGTAGAAGAAATTTTTATGGGAGAGATTTATTCTTGCTTTTACAATTTTTCTTAGCAATTCTTCTTTCTTTCTCAATCTCGCCATTAAGTCTCAAATTAGGAGTGATATTTTTATTCGAAATTATTCTACAATTTCATCTGTTCTCTTCTGTGCTTACTAAAATTATAAAAATTGTATCGCTTTTTACTTCTCATTTATGTTTCTTTTCATCGTATTATTTTTATTTATATGGAAATTACAGTTCCATTTCTTTTTAATTCGTGCACAAAATTTATACTTTTACTTATGTAATTTATTGATAAATCAAGAATCGAAGATAATGTACAAACATTCTGATATCTGTTGTTTTTGATTTATGCAATATCAACATTTTCACTAACGTATCGTAAATACGGAGATTTTACTGTATAATCGAGGTACAACGCAACAGCTGGGGCTACTTACATACGTAACAGACTTTCTTGAGAGAAAAAAAATTAATATTGATTGCGCGTCGAAATTTTTTGTGGCTAATTGTTTTGTTCGAACAATTTTTTATCTATGAAAAGTTAATAATGAAAAAAATTTGACATATATGTAAACCAATTTACAACTGTTTCTGATCACAATTCAATATGACAAGAGATAATAGTCAAGAGTCTTTTTCAAAGATAGAATTGAAGATTATGAGTTGAATTCAAGCTTATCAGGTTACCGCGATTTCCGTCTTTTTCTTCTGATGCTTTTGCTAAGCTTTACTCGCACCGGTTATCTCATTAGCTTTGCAGAACACAAATTCAACATTCCGAGAGCACGTTGAACCAGTATGCGTTGCTTGACCTATAATGTTTTTTTTCTTCTCTGCAGTATTATTAAGGTTAAATTTCTTTCTTTTCCTTTTTAATGGATTTCGAACAGAATTTTGAAGTCTTACTGTTCGTAAATCTTATTTACCTTTTAACGTATTCGAATTTTCTTCGATCAAAACTCGAATACGAATTGAAATTTATTTAATGATTTAAAGAAATTACTTAACGAATTTATTTGATGATTTTATGAGAAATAGTATCGTATTATTTCTATATTTAGCAGCAATTTTTAATTTTATATTAAATTCTCTTTTATTCTTGTTTTATTTTTTTCTCCGCACTGCGATACGATGTAGATAGCCTATTTATTACTTTTTTTTTTCATTTGCTTGTGTACTTTAATATTAGTGTCTAAAGATAAAAGCAGCAATTGCGATAACTAAAATAGCTAAGCTTCTCATTTTCATATAATATAATTGTTTGCTTAATTTGAAAAATTTTTAATTTACTCTTCTCTCTTGACATGTAAAACTGCACTGAAAACTTCAAAAACTTATATTCACTGATCATAGTTTTGCATTTTGCGATTGAATTATATTTATGTAGCTCTTACGTTATCATTCGTAATTTCTACGAAAAGCATAATCGCTGATCAGAGCCATCCCGTTACGGATATTTATTTATCGCGACACCGTCGCAGTTATACAGAATATTCTACATTTGTGGATTTTCGTTTGCGACATATTTTCATTGATACAATCAATAGAACGCGTTAGTAAAATTTGTTATATATAGTTTAATGTGATGCGAGAGTGCTAGATTGTGTTCATTTTGCAGTAACTGTTTGGATGAAATCATTTAGAAATTCATTGACTATCATCAGTCAATTCATACATATTGCTATCGCGATAACAATAAAACTATTCGTGAAGACATCATGAATCAGATTTCACTTGTGTGCAATAAATTGATCTAGGAGGAACAATTCTTTTTAGTCTCAAGCATGGAAAAATTTCCATGCCTTATTCCTGATTTAATTTTGCCTCACTTTACGTTGTCGAAGATCTTAATTACGGTGTGAATGCCACCTTACATGACCGAGGCTGCGTAACCGAACGGTTCCAGTCGAACTGGTCCTCGACATTAACCACGTGTTGAAATTCCACGAACTATAGTACAATTCCAGCTGTGGTGATACGAAAGCATCGATCGCGTATTCGCGTAATCCGATTAATTTCGTCAGATAAACTCATTTCAAGTTTGCTTTCGAACGTTACAAAGTTTTTTCATCTGCGTATTTCGTCTGTGATTATGACAGAATATCTCGAATTCGCGAGAGGTAACTTTATTATAGCAACCTGCTGGAGACGTTTGATCATGTTTCGATCGATATTATTACGTGTTAATGTGAGTGCTTCGATGAGATTTTTAATACTGTAGCGTGGACTCTTGAATTATTAAAATTCTTAGACCTTCGTATTTTGATATCTATTTATGCAATCGTATTCTACTGATGTTTCGTTTCATTGTTTTAATGATGTGATATAAAAGTTAAGATTATTTCGCTATCACGAAGTATATCATCGTTCATATAAATAGCACGTCAATTAGTCATCATCGTTCTTTGTTCTATTTGTCATCTATAATTTATGGATACTAGTGTAATATATAATCTTTAATTTTTTTTAATAATATTAAAATCTACGCGTTGAAATGCCTGTAGGATATTTAGATATTCCAGCTAACACTTTCACATCGGATATAAAGAACTGTAGTGTTGTATACGTCAAGTCTTCTGAAGGTCCTTCTAAGTGTTACCTCGTTTTTACGAAAGTTATAAAGCTTACATTCACTCAAATCACTGATGTTACATGTCTGATTTTGATATAGCTAAAAAAAGTTAAAAATATGATGTCTGACTTATATAATATTGATATTCGTAATTTTATGCGATTTACATAAACAGAAATCTTTACATAGAATCTTTATTTTGTGCATTAATTTCAGCAAAAATTTAATTTATGACTTTTGCTGATTAAGTTATATCGCTGAATATTATAGCTGTATATCTTTTTATTAGCTAATATAAATGTCGTAGCAGTTTATCTTGTGTGTTTATATGTGTGTATATGTTTATATTATGTTTATAACACAACATTCCGCTTGCTTATCCCGCATTAAATATAATTATACTTATTAATTCTTTTTCCATCAAATTAATTCAGTATCTTCATAAAATGTCAAAATTATTCAATAAGTATTGTTATAATCAAAATTAAAATTAACGATTCCGTAAAATATTTTACGATTTAAAAGCACTTTGGAATTTTCAAAGTATCGATTGTTACATTTTACATAATATTGATCGATATTTTATCACGGAAAAATTGACGGATTTGACGCGAGTTTCTAATTTTATTTGAAAGCGATTTTCATATGTACATTTGTTGTCAGTATTTTGACTGATTGTCGAAGTTCGATAACATCTCGTAATATATCTTTGCAGTATATGTCAACATTCTCTTGACACTTTCAATTTCGTGAAATTGGAAAATACTTTGGAAAAGTTCTATTTTATTCTCCTGAATAAATTCAAAATTATAAATTGTATCGCAGACATTTTGAATATTTTTTATATACGAATAAAAACATTGCTAAGGACGAAAGTTCATGAAATTCCGCGTCGTCACGTCGTCTCGTTTTACGCACGCCGCTTCCGCACGTTAATTGCTGATCAGCACGTTGTTCGCTTCGTATTTAGCTGAATTGACTGTAAAGATCATCGTAAAGTTTTTGTGAAGTGTATAACAATTAAATGAGAAATAGTGCTTTCGTTGATGTCTGGAAAATGTTCATTGTTACAAGTAATAGATTGTAAGAGATGATAGCCACCGTCCAAATATTTGCTGAAGTAACAGAGGCTTAAGCTGTTGGTACCTCGATTTCAGTATCGCCGAATTTCGGGTAACTGCAGCCACCGTGGACTCGCAGTATGTATTCTCCGATTCATCTTCAATTAGCGAAATGGACTATCCCGGCGGTAACCTTTGCCGTCGCTTTCTTTTGGTACAAACGCCGTCGGATAGAAAGAGGTGAACTTCAATGGAATGATTCAGGGGGAGCCGCGGAACTAGATTGCGAGGAGAAAACTGTGTTGAGCGACACGACGAAGTGTGACACGAGTCTCCACGACTCTGGCGTTCAGGAGGATATCAACCAGCGAGTGACACGACAGGAAGAACCAACTCGCATCCCGAGGAAGGTCAGCGAGAGCATGGACATCCCAGTCAAGAATCCAACATCGCAGTCTTTCTGTACCGATAGCGGCCAGGCCAGATGCATGAACATTGAGCCAGTGCAGCAAGACGTACAGCTGGGTAGCAATCCGAACGCGAGTTACTTCGAGATAGTTGCCAACAGTCGGAAAACGCTCTCCTCAGAATCCAATAGCACCATCGACAAGATGACGAGGATATTTGAGGATATCGTTGATATCGGTGATAAGAAGGAGCAAACTTGCGAGATAAAGCCCTTCGAACAAAAGTACATGACTGAATTAAATAACGAAGAGAATAGACAGCGAGACGAGAAACACGCTGAAGACACCATCAAGACTCAGGGACAAGCGGCCGAGGAAAGAGATTCGGCCAATCACAGCCCGATTTCCGGAGTTCTGGAAGGCAGCGTCACGGACGAAGCCAGGAGCGAAGGAAGCACGGATAGCGGCAAAGGTATCGATGATTTTTCACGATGATCTGAATTATTTCATCTGTTTAATAGAAAAATCACAGGGTAAATTCTGAAAACATATAAGAATATATGACTTTGTGAAAGCAATTTTGTGAAATAATCTTTTCATTTTTAGGTGGAAGTATCAACGGATACAGGAAGGATAATACTGTACAAACCACCTACGACTTTGCCATACCGCATCATCTGGTAGGCAGATTAATTGGTCGTCACGGAAACTTTTTACAAAGCATCCGTACGAAGGCTGAAGTCGACATATACGTAAATGATCACCCTTGCGATGGCGATCATAAGATTTGTTCGATACAAGGCAGTGTTGAGGGGGTTAACGTTGCGCTTAAGATGATAAGACAAAAGTTTCCGGAGAAGAAGTTCCCACAGGTGACACTGGCGGAAATCTCGACGTTATCTGATGTCAACGAGGAGATTCCCACACTTAACATCCCTCTGATAATGTCCACTCTCCCCCTGATTGATGGCGTCAGTAATGACATCAACATCTCTCATATCGTCAAGCCGAACTGGCTCTTTGTTCAGCTTCCGACTCACCCAACGCATCCTTATTTGCAAAATTTAGAAGAAGAAATGACGTGCTGGTATAACAGTGTATGTACAGATCCAGTGGTCGATGTGATGAGCAGTAAGTAATCTTTTGTTTTTTGCAAGTGAAATTGGAATGTGCCTGGAGTTGTAAGATTTCTAAAATTCGTTTTTCGTAGAAGGTACATACGTGGCTGTGTATTGGAACAACAAGTGGGTCAGGGGATGCATCGAAAATCCGGATCCATTAGGACAAAACAACATAGTGCGACTGCTTGATTACGGCGGCTACTGGCAACTCAGCAATGTGTTATTTAAGCCGATAAAATTTGAATACCTACATCTGCCTTTTCAGGCGATCGAAGTCTTTTTAGCGAATATCCAGCCGAAGGAAGGTAATTAATATATTGATGCTGCGTAGACAGTCTCTTCGGAAAAGTCGTACTTTTGATTTATCCGAAATTATTTACTTTGTATATAATTTATACGATCTATTCGTGTATTCTAGGTGAATGGTCGAAAGAAGCTTACAACCTAGTACATTCTGCCGGTACATGCGGGATTGCTCAAGCCTTGATCGAAGGCCGCATTGATAATAATGTTTATGCGAACATTTATTTTAATGTCCAAAACTATGGGGTAAATATCTATTGTTTTAGAAGAATCGAATTTTTTGCGCGCGTTTTTGCGCTCACTCAAATCGATCGATTTCATTGCAGGTAATCTCCCTCGGTGAAGAATTAGTAGCGAACGGATACGCCAAGCATGTAACATGGGAGCATATGAAGCCGGAAACGATGGAGTCCATCTATCCATCTACATAAAATTCATTGATATTGACTAAGAACCATGGATTTTACTCATGATTCGGTAGGAAATCTGAGAATTAATAGAGTTTCTTATAACTCTAATTTAGTATAATCATCCCATCATGTCGAAAGTGATTACTTTGTCCTTTCCCTCCATTCGAGTGATTTACTTCCTTGTAGTTTTTCAATTGAAGTTTGCGTTTATTATACGCCACGTTTATTATCGAACGATATAATAATTATAACATAATGTAACAGCATAACTATATTTCACTACATGGAAAAACATATAAAAAAAATCTCGGTCGCGTTTAACATTCACAATCTTTAAACATTGCTCAGAAAGAACGCGTCTTGTATAGCATAAACTCGTGAGTTGAAAACGAGTTCTGACAAGTACAAAGGTTTAGTCCGATAACGTAAGAACCTTTTTTTACAGTAACTCCCTTCCCGAACGGTATTGCTCGCGATATTTTCCCACTTTTAACTGCAAACTTCAAACATTTTCGTGTCCATGTTATTTACGAGACAAGTCTTTCAGATAGCTTCAGATAAGCATTTAAGGAACTGTTTTCATTGCCCTCCAATATAAGCATCTCGAGACTGTCGCAAAGAAATACAGTTATGCTTAAACTCTCCGAAATCCCCGTTACTTTTTTGTACATAATGTAAGATACTTCTCCCAATTGTAGAATATTTATATCTAGCAGTAAGGAGGGAGGAAGAGAGAGGGATATATATATAAAAAGATTTGCTATAATATTGATCGTACCGCAGAATAGAGATAAATAACTGACTTCGTGTTTTACAAAACACATTAGTTTGAAACATGTCAAATAACTCGGACGAATCAGGAAATTCGGTTCATGACTTCTATATTATATACAATATATATTTATATATATATGTATCAATTCTTTTTTCGACTGAAGATTATTCGGGAATCTATTGAAGTACTGTCGGTTTCATTCCGCGTTAATTTTAAATTGCATTAAACTTATTGGCGTAAAAACTAGTGTTAAACATTGCGTTTTACGCGTTACTTATCCCGCGTTACCTTTTTTCAAATTATATGTATATATATATATAGATTTAAACATTACTTATATTTAATTCGATACTTTGTTTTTCAAACATTACTTTCAATAATATGCATCTTGCACAACTTTATTACTGTGGCATGAAACGATTAGTATTTTATGCTTATTAATTATTTTCTTAAAACATGTGATTTTCGATATAATTATATTTTTTCAGCGTTTCAAGATTAAAACTTGTTAATTAATAAGCACAGGTATAACATTGTATGTATTTGTTTACTTAAATTTTGGTCAGTCTATTGTGGGATTTGCAAATGTGAATTTCTTTTTGTGCAAAATTACGACGCGGTAAAAATTAATAAACTGGAAAAAAAAATGCAAAACTGATTTCTAACATGCATACGGCATTCAGCTGAAAACGTTTGGAAGTTATTAAATGTTAATATTTAATATTGTTGAACACATAGAAATATTTTTCTAGAAATATATACATATAAGATTATATGCAGTCAGTAAACTCACTCAAAGCGTATGTGCATTCTCGCGGGTTGCGATGAACTCTAAAGATTTATGATTTATTATAATTCTTTACATTAGCAGTACGACAATATAGTGCAACGAATGTTACATAATAACCACATTCGTGATTAATTATATTTATACTTTGTATATAATACACGGCTGACCGCAATTTTTGAGTATTCAAACTTTGCGAAACAATTTATTAATTACTATCGTAATATTAATTGCGTAACTTAAGTTTCATTTTGTATATACATCAGTATAATCTTTGGAATTACCATTAAAACTTGTATCATTTTCATCACCAAGTTCTCAAATCCTTTATACATGTTTTATAAAGTCTCTAATGATATACAGCAGAAAGAAAATGAAATTATACTAAGATGTAAGCCATTGTTTTGTATTGTAAAGCAGAAATAATAAAGCTGTTTATAAAAAGCTGACCAACTGTGTTGTATACAAAGTTTGTGTGTGTCTCGTTCGTATTTTATTAATTTATAAAATATATACATTTTTTATTACACAGGTACAGGTTTTTACTACATTTAAAGATATATATTTCTTACACATACATTTTTTAACGTGCATTTTTTCAATGCATATTTTTTTTTTTAATTTATGTTCAATCTTACATACAGCTTACGTACATTTTACATACCATTGAGCACTTAAAGTTGTCAGACATACCTCAGAAACATGATTCATGAATGTCTAATTCAAAAATGGAAGGCATTATAATCACGCTTATTTCATTACAGGAATTTCTTGATTGTTAAGCCTGCTTTGTGGCTGTCTATGGTTGTCTATCTTATGGACACGCTAAAAATGTTTACGGATTTGTAGCATTTGCGTGCAGCATGCTATCCAGGATATGTAAACGTGACGAGCATCGAAGTGTCTTCGAGGGAAATTCCTAAAGAACGATGACGCACTTATCCTCTGCTAGCAGTGGACCATCTCAAACCAATCGTGCTGCTTCTATTACATCGCATGGCTCCTCGCATGCTTGTAAGCAGTAATAGCGAAATAATAATTATTCATTGTCTGACTGTGTATTTGCTATAATGCCGAGGATGCTGCCTTCGCGGATCGCTCGCGGCGTCCGGATGTGCCGCCGCCGCGTCCCTTTCACTGCCGGGGGTATCCTTATATATATGAGCTTCCAATCAAATGCTCTTGCCAATGGATCGCTAATCGGCATCGCGGTATACAGGAGATAACCGGTAAAATAACATCCGTGAGCCGGTTTTTGTTAAGATGACCGAAATGTGGATCAGTAGCTTAAAGTATTCCCTTGCAGTGATTCTTATTACGTGCTCGCTCTTCGTCGGCTCAGGTAATTCATTTTAATTTATTCTGTACAAGTTATGTATGTGCGATAAAGCAAGTCATTTTTAAAAATCAAGACGAACGTGATTGTGTATTAAATCTATATGAAAAAAATCCATTTTTAGAATTTCTATTCTTTTCTATTAAATGTTAATTTTTTATTGGCAATTTTATCTACACATTTGTTCCTTCTTTTAGTTATATTAAAAGATACATATATTAATTTAATAGAAATAAATTAGAGAATAAGAAGAGATTTTGAAATCGAGTAGTTTGCTTTTAATCGAATAATAATACTATTTTATCATCTTTGAAAATCGATTATGTTAATTATTTGAGAAATTAATGACATCAATAATTCTTAGAAATATATTCTAATCCGTAAATCGAGTCATTATTTATGTCTAGTAACGTTTAAAGAATTTAATTCAAAGTTTACGCATACATGCATTGTACTTTGTGATAATCTGAATTTACATTGCGATTTAAATTTCAGATACACATGCAACACAGAATGGACTCAATACTGGCGCCTTCAGTATGTATATTATCAATTCTTTCTTTGTGTGCATGCTGGTGAAATCATCTTTATAAATGGTTAAGGTCATTCTTGTTACCATCGCGTCACAATTATATATAGGGTTGTTAGACTACCTGAGAAATGCAATTTCTTTTGTTCGTGAAATATTTGCGAAATATTTTTGTCAGAGTCGAGTTATATATGACAGATTTATGTGTTATTGTCATTGAGTCTAGAATTCAGACTTTCCTTAAGGAAACTGCATATTTTTATCCATTTTAACTAAAAAATTTATTTTAAATTATTTGTTATAAACAGGGTAGTAAAATACTGTTTATAATGTTTGCATATGCTAAGAGAACATATTTTCACATCATATTATGGATGCTATTGAATAAAAGCATACAATCTCCATAAATGTGTAGAACATTTAGAAATATATATATATAGCTTTTTTTATCTTACATAAATTTTTAAATTTAAATTATTTTCTTTTTTATACAGTATTGATATTGAGTCAATGCTGTAATTTTTTATATTTTCTTGTTAGGATGGAAAAACAAGAGACGCGTGATCACGTCATGATGATTTATCCATTGCCAAATATGATACTTGTTTATTTTTCAGGCAGTGCGTCAGCTAATGCATTCAATGGAGCCGGTGCATCGGCTAATGCGAATGCTGGAGCCGGTCTGCCCGCATTAAATAATCCCCATGGGTTTACTGGTGCATTCGGAGAAACAGGATTTCTTCCTGGAGATGGACGTAAAGAAATTCGTAATTATAACAACCGCGGCTCTCCTTACGACAACAATGCTAATCGCGGTACAAAATCGTACGACACGCCTTCGGGCGACGTCGGCGGCCTTAATGACAGAAGAGGAGGCGGTGGACGTATCTATTATAAGAACGGTGAACGCTTTAGATGCAAATGGGAGAATGACGATTACTGGGAAAAGGTTGAGACAGAAGGAGACGGAAACGAGTGCGAGACCGGCGAAGACGGCGACGACGGCCAGTACAGGCCTGAGAAATATGATGACTCGAGTGACGACATACGTGAATTAAAAAAATATCGACTGCAGTCACCCTTGATAGAATTGGAGCCGCCCCTGATAGAATTGCAGCCACCTTTAATAAAATTGCAGCCACCCTTGATAGAATTGCAGCCACCCTTAATACATAAGACCGTAAGCACATATTCTGACAGCGAGACTCAAAAATTTGGCAGTCCTGAGAGTGATTTCCTAACGAACAGTAGATATGCAGGAAAAACCGATAATTTCGGAATTACGCCAAAATATGAACCTGGTAGCGGAACTGCAAGTGTCTTTGGAACAATACCGAGCTCTCAATCATCCTGGAATAAAGAAATAGCATCGAGTAGTTTTAGTTCTTCGTCGAAATCCGCCTTGGATGGTGGACTCGATATATCCGCAAGTTTTGGCACTACGTCAAAACCCATAACGAACTGGAATACCGGATCTGGTGTAGCAGCTAATGCGGTAGCTAATACAGCAGCTAATGCAGCAGCTAATGCAGCAGTTAATGCAGCAGCTAATGCAGCAGCTATTGCAGCAGCTAAAGCAGCAGCTAATGCAGTAGCTAGTGCAGCAGCTAGCGCAGCAACTAAAGCAACAGCTAGTGCAGCGGCTAATGCAGCGGCTAATGCAGCGGCTAATGCAGTAGCTAGTGCAGCAGCTAGTGCGGCAGCTAATGCAGCAGCTAGTGCAGCAGCTAATACAGCAGCTAATGCAGCAGCTAATACAGCAGCTAATGCAGCAGCTAATGCAGCAGCTATTGCAGCAGCTAAAGCAGCGGCTAGTTCAGCAGCTAGTTCATTTTCTTCTACGCGGAAATCCGACACAGTTTGGAATAAAAACGATGGTATACCTGTTGCGGGCTTCAGCACAACAGCGAAACCAGCACAAGAATGGAATGTTGTTATATATGACGGTGATTCCGGAAGAATTCCACCCCCGCACAAACCTGGGACTCCTTGGAATCTCGGGCATGCAACGACACCGAAACCTGGAGTAAATTGGAACACCGGATTCGGCAGCAATCCTGGACCAAATTGGAGTTCGGATTATGGAACGCCTGCTGCTGGTATATCTAGTTATTTTCTTAAAATATTTTTCTATTCTTTTAGAATGATAAAGCAGAGCTTTTTGTGTGTTCTGCTACGTGTTTGCATTTCGAAATTAAAAAAATGTATAATAGATAAGCGCACGTTAATTATAAAGATCTTTTCATGATATACATGTTACAAATTGTACTTTTACATTTGTGTAACAATTTTATAGTAATATATGTTAATATTGCGCTAGGAAAGCAAATTCCTGGCAAGGCAGGTGTAACATCTATCCAAATTGGTTTAACGAAAAGTAAACCTTTAAACAGCGGCGTATCAATTGCGGCACCACACGCAGAAAGTGTCATTGCACCTTTAGGCAGTTACGGATCTCAATTTGGAGCTCAAAGTACGTATTTGTGGTAATTAGAAAGCTTCTTATTGATTTTAATTATTAATAATGTTATTCCTATATAACAATAATTAAGATATAACTTTCAAATATAATCATTTTTATATTCAGAATGTTTCTTTGTTTTAGAATTTTTCTAACAAACTGATGATCATTTTATTTATACAGATGCTAATACTTATGCTGGAGTTTATGCTGGAGCAAGTGGAACATCCGGTATTGCAAGCAACTCTCGCGGAAGCGCATCCGATATTACGCCTCATAGTACGCAGCCTTTGAGTACATCAAATAATTTCGGAACTGGTAAAAGATTACATGGAGGAATTACCGGGCCGAGTTTATCCAGTACCAATTCTGCGGGGCAAGATAGCATATTTAATTCTGGAAAACCACGACAATCTCTAACTGGGAGCAGCCTGTATGAGCGTTCGGAAGCTACCAAATCTAATAGCAATGGAAACGGATTTATCAACACCAAATCTTCGTTAACTACAGGTCCTCGTGCTGAACTTTTTACATCAAACGCTGCAACAACTAAATCTCCATTTAGCTATGCGACCACGCCACGCCTTACGCCTCCTAGCCCTTTCAGCGGGACAAGATCGAACAACTTGGGCCAATCCAGTTTTAATTTCGGAAGCAACGGCGCAGCTGCAAACGCTGCTGCGAACGCTGCAAGCGCTAGCAAAAGCGCTAGCACAGTCACGTTCGGGACATCTCTTGATACGCAAAGCACTTCTGGTATAGCCGGAACTGCACCAAAATACGGGGAGAGTTCAGTTAATTCTGGGGTCAAAGGCTCCTTTGGAAGCACCAGATCCGGTTATGGAACTGTTCCTCTCAGAACGAATCCTAATGTCGGAACTAATGCTTGGTCCAAGCAAGCTGAAAATGAAGGCAAGACTACATTTGCTAGCGGAAATCCTGGAACCATAAGTGGCATTAGTCCCTGGTCTGGATTAAGTGGAATTAGATCTGCAGGACATTCTGAAATTGAAAGTAAAACCTTGCCTGGCGCGCAATTGAGCGGAAGTAGTTCTTCGTTTGGCAAACAATCTATAAGTGGAAATAATCCTTGGCTTAACAAAGTTGTAAGTGGAAGTAAGAGTACGTTTGGAAGCAGTGATGCCTCGCCTGCAGCAAGTGGAAGCAGACCCGCGGGACATTCTGAAAACGAGAGTAAAATCTTGATTGGCGCGCAATCGATTGGAAATAATCCTTGGCTTAACAAGGCTGTAAGTGGAAGTAAGAGTACATTTGGAAGCAGTGATACCTCGTCTGCAGCAAGTGGAATTAGACCTGCGGGACATTCTGAAAACGAAAGTAGAACCTTGATTGGCGCACAATCGACTGGAAGTAATTCTTTGCTTGGCAAACAGCTTGTAAGCGGAAGTAATCCTTGGCTTAACAAACTGCCTGCGAGCGGAAGTACGAGCACGTTTGGAATCGCGAGTGATACCTCGTCTGCAGCAAGTGGAATTAGACCTGCGGGACATTCCGAAAACGAAAGTAAAATCGTGATTGGCGCACAATCGGCTGGAAGTAATTCTTTGCTTGGCAAACAACTTGTAAGCGGAAATAATCCTTGGCTTAACAAACAGCCGGTAAGCGGAAGTACGAGCACGTCTGGAATCGCGAGCGATACCTTGCCGGGAACAAGTGGAATTAAGCCTAAAGAACAATCTGGAAGCGGAAGCAAAACTTGGTCCAGTACACAATCTAGTGGAAATAGGTTCGGCAAAGAGTCCGAAAGTGAGACTGCGTCTGAAGAAGACGATTATTCGTGGGACGCGCAGAATTCATGTAGTAGAGGATTAAAAGGCCCTACTAAAACATATTATCCTGCTTCAACTGAATCTTATCCTGCAGGTAATACGAAAATGCGAAAGCGGAGACATTTTGTGTAACCAAAGTAGAAATGAGGCTAATGAATACTTAAGAACATTAGTCATTAAAATTTTAGTTGCATTAATAACATATGAAATAATTAAATTTCAGATCTTGCGAAATGGAATCCTGCAAATCCATTTTTATTTGGAGCAAAAGGTAAATTTTATATATATAAACTTTAAAATAAATGTATTAATGATAAAATATATAAAAATATTAAATATATCTTTATCCATTATTCAGGCGATAATCCAAGCGATATTTCACGCCTTTGGAATAGCGGAACCACAACCACAGCTAAGCCAATCGGTAAAGGAAATCCTTTCCTCGATCGCCTTTATATTACTCCTAAGCCTGGATATGGCGGCAGTGGAGGAAGGAAACCTGAAGGAAGCAATCCCTTTATTGAATCCGGAAGTGAACAACTTGCTGGTTCTTCTGCATCAGCAAGCAGTAGCAGTTATGCGAATGTAAAGAGTGATTCCAACTCTGAAGGAGCTTCATCGCAGAATAGAAATAAGGATGGACTTTACTCTACGAGAGGAAATACTCCCGTGGGAGGGATCGGTGGAAGTGGTTTAGGTGGTTCATCAGCCGGTGGACAATCCGCTGGTTCTTCTGCATCAGCAACAGCGAGCAGCAGCAGTTTTGCGAATATTCCCGGTGGCAGTCCTGCGGCACCTGGAATCGGAATTGTACCCGTTCCTTTCGCTATCGATGCAGGTCGTCCCGCATCAGCAGAAAGTAATTCGGCGGCTAATGCTTACGCAAAATCTCACGCAGAATCTCACGCTGAATCTCACGCCGAATCCTTCGCCCAAGCTTCCAGTTTTTCTAGTTCGAATTCTTTCTCCACATCAGGTATTTTGCAAAAATAGTTCAGCATGTAAATCTAGAAACAATAAGATTAGATAATTAGTCGCTGGCCAGTTGTTATGCTAATAAGTCGCGGGATCATTGAGATTAGAACGCACGATTCGAGGGAGTGTACGCCAACTGTAAATTAAATCAACGATGCATTCATAATTTCCAAGCGTTTATATCCTCGCGCTGTCTAGTCGCTCATATTAATGGAAGTCTTCTCACAGATAATGTAACGTTGCACGAGACATTTATGCGTAGTGGCGATTTTGAAATACGGCATGTATGCATGATAATGTATATTTCTCACAGTGGGAAATAATCGGAATGCCTCAAGGCCAAACGCAGTGTACGAGAGATTGGAAATACGTGTGATTGATGCCGTCTATCGTACAATGAAGCATAAATCAAAGTAGCGTTTTAATTAATAGTCAACGTCCAAGTATCCGTTTCCGTTCTTTGCGAAAACACGACTTACTATTATACAACTGTATCAGCATATTTGTATTGTAATATCTAGCTGCGATGATTTTCGAGGTGCCTCTATTTATTATGAAGTCATTAGAGCTGTTATTATATTTGTCATTTAATTAAAGAGATTTGAAATAATATTTTATAATGTATAATCGTATAAAAATCAACATTAGAATTGAATAATCGATCTATATGAAAATGTAACAAATTTTTTATGTATCTTCATGTTTTTCAGGATCCGACAATCTCCAAAATGCAAAATGGGATCCCCTAACTGGGGGAGGTGGACTACAAAATCCAGCTGGATCTAATCCCTGGCCTCCCGCTGCTGCCCAGGCCACTGCTTTTGCCAGTGCCGGAAATGGTGAGTTCTCGCTGAATATATATATTTTTTGAACATCTACATACACTTCAGTATAATTATTTAAAAAATAACTGAATACATTATATAATATGATTATAACATTGTGTTGCAGGCTGGGCAAGAAATTATCCTATCGACGTGAAGGGTTAATTATTTCAGTCAAAAGATGAATATTAAGCAAGCAGAAGATAAATGTGCAGATAATGACATTATTCTAAAATATTCTAAAATACGTACATTTTGTTGGCACATATTGCTACTTAACAATTAAAATACTCAATTTTGTTTATGTAAAACTTTAGATAAAGATTTTACATTCATTATTCGTATCATTTATTTATTGCAACCGATACGACAATGAATGGATTTTTCCATACGAGAATTTTTTTATTGCCATTGTTATTTTATATGTATTCTCTTGTCAATTGATGGAAAGCGAACAAGCTTCCCAGAATTATACGAATAATTGTTTACGTTGCAAATACTATAATCATTTGTTATGATCAATAATTGATCATACATCGATTTACAATATTCCATAACTCTATATAGGATGGTTTGTTAAAAAAATATTCATTTACATTATCTTTACCATTTCACTTTTTTATCTTGCGTAAAATAAAATTCCAGTTAATTTCTTTTATAAATATCATTATAAAATCTAATTCCATAATGATTTTAATTCCACGATGTTCCGAACAAATAGATAATTAACGTATCGTCCACCCGGTATACGTTAATAAACGAGCTATTATCTTCAATATCAATAGTGAATATTTTTATAACGCAGCAATAATTATAGCTCGTTATATCGAAAAATATATAAAAGGACATCTCAGCTGCATAAAATCAGTATCTCTGTTGAGGCCCACTGTAAATCTACTGAGAATCCAGCGTGTTACGAGCATCATGAAAGTTATCGTATTACTTGTGGCTTTATTAGCATTGCTGGTCCAACTGTGTAATGCACAAAGTAAGTTGCTAAGCTTTTTTATAAATCGATTAAAACAAGATGATTGGAGTGTTAGTTTGATGAACACTTGTATAGATCTAATACAGTTGCATTCGTTTATTTATAAGTATTACTATTCTTCTCTCACTTTTAAAACCAGCATCATTATTCAAGTTGTTTAACATAAATCGATTCTTAAGTAAAATTGATAATGACAGAATCTCTTCTGATTAAAGTGCTTTGTATAAAACTGGTTTGTATGGTCTAAAATAACATTAGATCAGTAATTAGAATGATTATTTAAGATTGATCAATTTCTTTTAACTTTTACATTAAAATTGAGCTTATTTGAGTCTTCATACTGCTGCCTTGTCACTCTGTATTGAGTCTTATAAATTGGGATAATATACTTATTAGAACAAATTTTAAATTTACTTATTACAATTTTAGTGGGAATAATGGGAAGAGGAAGTATGGGAAGAGGAGGTATGGGAAGAGGAGGTATGGGAAGAGGAAGTAACGAAATGTACGGTACATACGACAACATGGGCAGATCTGGCCAAATGATGCCAATGCCAATGGTGCCAATGATGGGTATGTATAGAAATTTGGAAGACTATTATAAACCCATAATTTAAAATTACTTAACGTATGTAGTGAACGTACAGTGTATAGTAAAATAGCTTTATCATATTATATGTTGTCTCAATTCTTATTCAGTACATTATTGATATTGAAATTCTTAAATATTCAGAGTTTGTATTAATTTCTTTATCAATCTTTATCGATTTTACTCATCAACGTGAGATACTCGAATATCACGCTCATTTATAAATTATTAAAAAAGCAAATAACAATGTAATACAAATGAGATATACGAATCACTTTTCAAAAGTATGTTAAATATTTTACAAATTACAATTAGCAATCTCATCACTTACGCGCGGTAGTCCAATCTTATAATAATTTTGTTTTTGCAATTTTTAATTATGCATTTTGTACTTTATGCAAGATATAGAATTTCATAATGTTGTTTCAGGAGGAGTTATGTATCGTTAAGGTATGGTTCTCAACTAATGGGAAATATATGGAGCTTACTCTAATATAATATACTTTCAGTTCAATAAATGATATGCAATGACTTATGTCTAATATTTTTATGCATCCTTATCTTTTCCAGTATATCGAAATATTTTTTACTATACTTCTGTTATTTTTAAAATTAACGAATTATATATATTATTATTTTATATTTAACATAGTAACTATATTTTTGACTAACATTCTCCAAACTTTCAAATTGATAATAATTTATTTGTAATTTATTCAAGTTAAGAGAAGTGTGAAAAAGATAGAAGTGTTTTTATATTAAGTGTCAGCCTTTTTTAACATTGGACATTTTTCACAGGATTAGAGAGAGTTCTGTCAAACAGTATTTAACAGACGAACTTATAAATTATGTTTTAGCTACTTTACCTGTCCTTTAGATAGGAGCGTAAAGATCGGCGATATTACTTAGAAATTAATTTATTACTTGTCCATATACAGGAAAAAATACGACTTTATTCGATCTATTGGCATATAAAACAGATATAGATGTAATTCATAATCATGGAAATATGCTATACAACTACAAACATACGGTGCTCAATGTAAAGAAACAGAAAGCCGTAATAGACTAGATCCGTATAGTTAGGATATGTGATTCGTGGACAGATGACTATTTAATGCTGCTTTGTGGGCGAATTTTTTCATACAAATAAGACATTCGTGAGTTTTTTCGTTAACATGCATCGATAAGTGTTTCTTTAACGCCGCTTTATCCTTGAAAATTTTTTGACAAGTACTACACTCGAAAGGTCTCTCACTAGCGTGTACAAACATGTGGCTGTTTAACGTGGTTTTCTGCGTGAAAGCTTTGTGACACACGTAGCATTCGTACGGTCTGTCGCCGGTGTGACTTAACATATGCTTCCTCAATGCTGATTTTTCTTTAAACGTTTTCTGGCAAATATGGCACGCGTGCCGCTTATCGCCCGTATGTATGAGCATGTGCGAATTCAATCTTGTCTTTTCCCTGAACGCCATATCACACATATTGCACGCGAACGGTTTCTCACCCGTGTGTATCAAGGTGTGTCTATTCAGATCCGACTTTCTGGTAAAAATTTTATCGCAAACCGTGCAGTCGTATTGACCACCGGTGTGCAACAGCATGTGGCTATTTAAATCCGATTTTCGCGCGCACGCCTTGTGACAGATGTGACACTCGTGCGGCTTCTCACCCGTGTGGACCAACATGTGAGAATTTAATTTGGCTTTTTCTCGGAAAGTCATCAAGCACTCTTTACACTCGTACGGCCTTTCGCCGGTATGAACCATAGAATGCCTAATCAATTCTGATTTTCTCTTGTACGTTTTCTCACAAATGTTACAGGCGTGTGGCTTCTCGCCGCTGTGCGCCAGCATGTGATTGTTGAGCGCCGTTTTCTGAGCGAACGATCTGTGACACAGTGTACACTTGAAATTCTTGTTCCCTGTATGAAGCGGCATATGCATGTTCAGTTTCGCCTTCTCCTTGAACGCCTCAAAGCAAATCGTGCACTTGTAGGGTCTGTCCGTCGTATGGCTGGACATGT